AGCGGTGGCGGCGGCGGCGACGGCGGCAGCGGCAGCGGCGACGACTGCGACGACAGCGGCAGTGATGGGTGCCTGAGACCGTGGAGTTGACTGGAACTATTCCTGTGCTCTAGATACCATATGAGAAATAGAGAAGATTGGGAGAAAATATCCCTTGTGTGTTTAGCATACACATAGGGTAGTTTATTTATATTGTAAGATATGGGCCAATGCCCTTAATACAGAATAGACTAAGCCCAAATAACAGAAACACACATCTTAACATCTAACATGTACTAATCTCCCTAGCAACAAGACCCTGGGCTATTACTATCAAAGTTCACCTCTGTTGAAAGGAATATTCATTCAACCATTCATTTAGGCTTTCGAAGTTATTAGAAAATGAACTTTAAGTCGAGGAATGGACATCTTGAACATGAACTAGATATTTGTAGGTGGTTCAATAGCAGGCGATAATAGGTGATACGATAGGCCCAACAAAATTCGCTAGGATAGACTCTAATACCATATTAGAAAATGAACTTTAAACCTAATTCAATCTCATAGAGTCAGCTTGTATGGCGATATGAGATATCTAACTGAAGTAAATGTTTGAAAAGTTGCATGTTGGATAGTGTCAAAAGGATTAGTGTGCAAAACAAGTAATAGATGATAGCATCATTCTAATACCATGTTGTTAAGAAGAGAAAAACTAAGAAGGAAAATAATGAATTATGTGTGTTATACAGACGTGAGTAGTCTTATTTATAATGAAGAAGAAATACAATTCTAAGGAACAAAATCAATATCTAATAATGAAAAATATTTAATTAGACATTTCTCTATCAAATCATATCATATCTCCTTATTTAGTGTAATCAAATGATATCTTTACCTCCCCCGTCCCCGCAGAGGTTGACCCTCTTCCCCATTAACTTGAAAATTCCCAATCAACCAATGTTTCCTCAAGTGTAGCCAACCATATCAGAAAATAAAATGTAGGACTTCTAGACCATGCATATCAGAAAAAAAAAAAAAAAAAGAGCTACCACCGCCTCAAATTTCTCCATATGAAGTTTAACCATGCTACTTGAGCCTTGAACAGCTGTCTTATAACCATCATCAAGTTGAATCCTTTTATATTTGGTATCCATAACTTGCTAACCCATGCATGCCACAATCTCTTGTAAATAAAATTGTGGGCAGCTCTTCTCTCTAACAAAATGGGATTGATACTTGTTAGGATCCAGTGTCCAGGTATGACACTTAGTCTTACATTGAAGTACAGGATTCTAGTATGGGGTTTATAAGCCTCAGGATCTCTAACCTCAACAACTACCTTTTGGAGTAAAGTATGGTTCTCCAAAGTTCTGATCAATTTGTATCAAATCCTTCCAACACGTCTCTCATTTGCTAGTGAGCCACATAAATGATGACACTGCCATTGCAGTGTTGCCTAGGACTAGTCAAAGGGCTAGTGCACAGGCAGGGTAAGAAACATTGTGGGATTTAGGATCCATTGCAAGTTATTGAACTTGAGTCGTACATTGGAATTATGGAATTCTATTATGGTGTCTACGAGATCTTGGGCTCTCCAACTAGAACTGCTAGTTTTTCTTTAACAGTCTCAATAAAAACTTCCCTTTCACCATCTCGATTAAAAATATTGTGATTTCACCAATATTTTTCATTATTGGATGCCTTCCCAAAGTTGTGATTCTTTCTGTCACATTGAATGATTTACTGCTTGAAAAGCCGCTCTTCAAGTTGTCATTTAAAATTTCTTAATGATTAGATCAGCCCTGCTTACTCTGCTAAAAATTTTAACAATTTACGTATTAGGTTCTGTTATATGTGAAAAATGTGTTAATTATTGTTGTGAAATATTTCCAGGCTCCACTATTAAAAAAGTATCCTGCAAACCTGTCTGTCACGGCATATTCATACTTCTTTGGAGCTGTTCTGATGGTAACTACATCATTCTTTGCAACTAACGAGTCAACTGACTGGAGATTGACACAGTCTGAAACGATTGCTGTTATTTATGCGGTGAGTCGCTAGAACTTCAAATCAACTTTCAATATTATGAGCCATTACTAGTTATCTTTGGTAACCTTAGTTCACCTTCTTTATTCGTCATTTGTGCGGTATCATTCTTGAACACCTCAAATGCCAATTTTATTTTTATTGAATGACGTTTTGAGCATGTGGTTAGAAAGGGCTCACAGGCTCCTATCATGAGCACTGTTACCGTTTCCTCTCTCTAGTTAGTTAGCCAAGTCAATTGGTTAGTGTCCGGATACTTTGAACCTTGTATTCTAACTGTGTATAAAAACTGTTGTATCCTTAAATTCATCAAATAATAACAGAATTTAGTTTTCTTCCTTGATAAGTTTATCTTGCTTCTCTTTGAAGCTTTACAAATGGAAGCATACTCACTTGTGTATTTTTTTATCAAGGCATCCAAGTTTGCATTTGAGGAAAATGAAAAGACGTTGTTCATGCATGCAGTTTTATAAGTTTTCCTTAATTTTCTACGTTAATTTTGGATTGAATTTTGCTGAGCGACTTTACACTATTTGTAACCTATATTTCTCCTCTTCCACGCTGAGAGAAACTCTGCCAGGATATACTGTTTGAAAAACTCGAAAGCCTTGGTTATTAAATTGAAATAGCATTTTCTGTTAATACTATGAAGAATTCACGCTGATCTTGGATCAGATTCAAACTCCTGAATTATTGATTCTGATTTGAATGCTGAGCCTGCTTTTGTGGGGAATTCATAGTAGACCTTCAAATAATACTCCTCCAGCGTATTCTGAAATCTAGTGGCATTTATCACTGGGCAATAATATTTCCCATAGATTACTTTTTATTAAAAAGTTTGAACTTTTACTATTTATCAATGTAGCTCAAATATGTGTTTGTATATATTTTACGAATTAATATCATAAACACTATGTCATATGCAGTTGACTATATCTTTGATTTGACACATCATACATAGAAATGAGGGCACTATTAAAAAATTCACATATAGAGAAAATTATGCTGTGCTGTTTATAGATCTATAATATTTTTTTTCTTTTGGTTTCGTTGCATTTGTTTATATATAGATATTAAATAAAAAATAAAAATCACAGAACCAATGAATTAGGATTCAGATGACACCAAAAGTTTAAGTTCCAAATGGTGACCAGAATTCTGTTCTGCAAATGATTGCCAAGCCAATATTAGAGTAGCAAAGTTCTTTTTTATGTGGTAAGCTGACTGGCTTTTTTTTTGTACCCTAAATAAACTGATCTCGTTGTTTGTGTGGTCGGAATATGAAATACATACAAAGTTCTGAAACATTTTCTCTCAATTCAGTTTCTTCGATTTCTAAAGCCAAAATCATGCCTAACAATGGAAAAATAGAATGAGAGTGACTAAACATGTAGAGTCTTACAGATGTTTCCATTGTTTGTTCAGGGATTTATCGCATCTGCCCTTAATTATGGACTGATTACATGGTGCAACAAGATCTTGGGGCCAGCCATGGTTGCTCTTTATAACCCACTTCAACCAGGAGCTTCGGCTCTCCTGTCCAGAATTTTTCTAGGAACTCCAATTTACATGGGAAGGTATATCTCCTATTATTCCTAGTTATTGGTGCAATTTACATTCTATATAAGCCAGCTCAACTTCTTTATGCTATTTCCAAAAAGCAGCACGATATGCTTTATTTTCCAGAAAAGATGCATAGTTGTCTTCATTAACCAACACGTCTTTGTTTTCTATGCATAGTTGTCATTTAATTTGGTGGTGTGTGAAAGAGTTTTTACGAAGCTTATTTAAACTTATGAAATTGATTTACGATTCTTATAAACTGTTTTTAGTTCATTTCAGTAAGCTTTTTTGTGTAGTTTATTGAAATAAGTCTCTTACTGTTTTTATTTCTTTATTGATGACAACAGCGTCGTAGGGGGATCTATGATCATTATTGGTTTGTATGCGGTTACTTGGGCGTCTTACAGAGAAAGACACGCAGCTGCTGCAGTTATTTCTCATGATAAGAATTCTTATAGAATTAACATTTTTTCAGGCCCCTCCACCATGTCCCCTAAGCCTTCAGATTAACGGTATGTAAAAAGTTGTCTCATTATTCTTTCTTGTTTTTATATGTAATGTTTTCAAGAATTCAGAGAGAATCAACGTTAAATTTTTTATAAACTTGTCCACAAATTGGACTGGGTTACAGCTTCAAATTATTTCATCAGAATTGTTTTTAACAATAAATTTAAATCACCGTTAGAGGTCAAATTAGAAAGAAAAAAAGATGTAGAAGTGGCGGGATAATTGTTTTTAGTAAGAATAGGTTTAAAATAAGTTTATTTCAATAAACCAAATTATTATTTTGGGCTTAAATTCTAGGTCTTTGTGGACTGATTTCTAATTGGGGTTTAAGGCAAATTTTTCTTGCTCCTGCATATCTTCGTCCTGCACTATCATAAATATAAAAGTTTTCCATTATGTCTTTTTTAATTGTGCAATCCAGAAATAAAAAGTGATTTCCATTATGATAATATTCGGAATAGTTTTCTACTAAACTAATATTACAACATGAAAATTACATTATTTTAACGAATCTCCGGGAATATTATCATAATTTTCAATTTTATAAATTGTTCATAGTAATTATTTTCAGTCAACTACTAAGCTTTTAAATCATTATTTTCATAATAAATATATCTATTGAACTTTTATATTTAAACTACCATGCATTGGATAGAAATCATTTAAATGTAATGTTTTCAAAACATTTTTTACTCAAATTATTTTAATGGTTTGTAACACTTTGTCATAAATTTTTCTCGACACACGTGTCAAAAAATTCTCATAACTATTATCAATTATTTATATTTTATGTATTACTTAAAATCAACTTTTAATTTTTTTTATACATTTTTTCTCGTTTTATCCTGTTATATAATTCGTTTATGGATATGTTAGTTATTTTATCGTTTCCAAACATTAATCTAAATAAATCTTAAAAGATAAGGGTGATTACGTAAACAAAAGTCATTAAATTTTATCACTTTTCACGATAAGCAATTTACGGTAGCATATCAAAATAAACAATTTTTAAGATGTTTTTAATTTTTATTTATTCTTAACATTCAAACATGTTAGCAATTATAATAAATATCTTTTAATTAATACATTTCATTTTTACATTTTTTTCCACCTTTTGTCAATTAGTTTTACATAAACACTTTATACACGTTTTTCTTTTGGGTTAAATATGTTTTTCGTCCCTTAAGTATCACACGATTTTGGATTTAGTCCCTACTCGAAATTTTGAAGGCTTTTAGTCCTCATAGTTTTGAAACTCTTACTATTAGTTCTTAAAAATGAACGGAGTTAACTTTCATGTGATGTGGCAAACAGCGAGAACACTCTTATGCCAGCTTCCATCTTCACTCTCTGACACGTTGGTTGTTTAACTTTTGAAATGAGATTAAGTATGTTTAATTTGGAGGAACCTTACTTCGTCATCTCTTATAAATGAAATTTTAAGAAGTTGTGTTCTTCTTCATCATTGCATTTGGGGGCAAAGAAATTTGAGGATGTACATTTGAAGGTCGTCTTCTTGAGGAGGTAAGTTGATAGGTTTTGTTTTGCTCTTCTTCGTGTGAATATAAGGATTGGGGATATAGGGTTTGGTGCTGCGGAATCAGTCTCGGAAAATTCCATCCATGAATTCTCGGTCAAGGTAGAGGCAATACTCATAATCTCAACATCAGAAAACCCTAATTTTTTTATTATTTCAATTTGGAAACAATTATAGAAACGTGAACCTCACCACCCTCCCAAATCTCCTTTCCCCTTATTTCCTAAACCTTGATAAATAACATTAACAGTGAACGATTGCTTTCGTTTGTTGGGATTCTAAATTTGAAGCGTCAGAATCCGTTGGAATGCAGGGAAGTGGCAGTAGCGGTGGCACTGCTCCGTCGTCTGCGCCGGTGAAGCAATATTTGCAGGAGTTCTCTAAGCTGTTTCAGTACTATCTCGACAAATCTACCCCCCATTCCGCCTACAGATGGATTGGGACATTGGTCATGGCATCCATCTACGTCTTGCGTATTATTTACATGTAGGGGTTTTACGTTGTCTCTTACGGCCTCAGAATCTACCTCCTCAATCTCTTGATTGGTTTTCTCTCCCCTTTGGTTGATCCAGAGCTTGATCCCTCCAAATTAAACATACTTAATCTCATTTCAAAAATTAAACAACCAACGTGGCAGAGAGTGAAGATGGAAGCTAGCATAAGAGTATCCTTGTCGTTTGCCACATCACACAAAAGTTAACGCCCTTCATTTTTAAGGACTAATAGTAAGAGTTTCAAAACTATTAGGACTAAAAGCCATCAAAGTTTCGAGTAGGGACTAAACCCAAAATCGTGTGATACTTAAGGGACGAAAATCATATTTAACCCTTTTTTTTTCATCATACAAAAGAAATGTACTTTATACACATTTTGTTGGCACTTTCTTCTTAATTTCTTTATGCACCTCATCACAAAATATAGACTTCCGGAAACTTTGATCCGAAATATACATGGGTGGTGATATTTCCAAACTTGATGAGTGTTTTTTGTAAAAATATTTCTGAAATTGGTTCAGTATGTTCCGGAAAGTAAAATTTGAAAATTACAAGGAAGAAAAAAATATGATAAGATGCACGAAGAAACAACATTTGGTTTGAGAGAAAGCTATATAAATTTAGTTTTTTAAATCAAAGTTAAATTTATTTAATGTTTTAAACGTATTTTATGATTTTAAATTAATTTTTGATATTTTTTTTAGTATTATTTAAGAAATGTATTTAAAAACTTAAATAAATTTTAAAAAATTATTATTTTTAATAAAAAAAAACATATTTAAGCTTAATACCTAATAAATATAAATAAAGTATCACATATTTATAACATTTTAATGAGTATTTTACTTTAATGGACCTACACTAATTATTAAACTTTTCTAAACACTTCATTAATGATTAATTTGGTGATTGTCGAATCATCTGGGACCAAATAGTACAACTAAATTAAACAAAATAAAACCATTACCAAATATAATGTTTCAACAAACTTTCAAATAGAAAAAATTAGGACAAAACACGATATCAAAATGGTAACTTATAATTATTAATTTGCCACTTTTTCCTATACATGCCTTCTTTCATTATTGTCTTATTATTTTCAAATACGATTGATTTTTTTTATTGTATTTGTATTTTCTCACTGGAAAATAGAGAAAAGAAACATTCATGTTTTTATTTGCATTTTCGAAAGTAATTATCAAAACATCGTTTCGTTTTTACTTTATTTCCTTTTAAATATCTAGACAGAAAGATTTGAAAACAAGGTTTTGAAATTATATTTCAAAGTTACGACAAATTGAAAACAAAATTATTTATGAAAATTAAAATATAGTTTGAAAGATGTTATTTCTTTACTATTATATCAAATGTAACCTAATCCAATTTCTCAAGAGTTTGATAACATATTTTGTAGGTTTAATGTCTCAATAAGTCCCTATTTTTGTTCAGAATTTGAAATAGGTCCCTTTATTTTTTGGCGTCTCAATTGGGTCCTTATTTTTGTTAATTTGATGCAAGTAAATTCTTTCCGTCAATTTCATCAAACGACGTTAATGAATGTGTGACGTGGCCTTACACGTGTCAATACTGTCCTCAGGCCACGTCACACATTCATTAACGCCGTTTGATGAAATTGACGGAAAGGATTTATTTGCATCAAATTAACAAAAATAAGGACCCAATTGAGACGCCAAAAAATAAAGGGACCTATTTCAAATTCTGAACAAAAATAGAGACCTATTGAGACATTAAACCTATTTTGTATTGTAAACTAGAAATTCACCCTGATCTGATAAAAATAATATTAATATTAATAAAAATCATGATATAACCATTATTCAATTTACTCTATTATTTTATTGACAAAATGTCTGTTTTAAAATATTCAATTATTCAAATACCAAATAATTAAGAAATGTAAAAATGTTTTGAAGTTATAAATTTTAGCGAAATAAAATTTCAAAATTTGTGACCTAATTGACCTAATCCAATTTAATTTGAACATAGGTGAGTTGGGTTAGGGTAAATTAAATCTAATAGAAAAAAAATGTAGAAACAAGTGTTATCTTAATTTTTTTTATTGAGTTGAGTAATGGGGTTTTTCCAAATTTAACTCAACTCTACCTGTCTGTATCTCTATTAAATTAAAATATGAAAAGTCTTAAAAAATATAAATAAATTAAGAAATCCATTCACACAAAAGAAAAACATATCAATTTAATCATAAAATCATATAGAAATCTTACTAAAAACATTGCAACGGAAAAGAATGGTTTGTTAAGACATGACAAAGCTCAAAAGAAAAAAAAATATACAGCAACAATGCTATTTAAAATAAACAAAAAACAGAAATAAAAATAGACCATATAAATTTATCATTTCACCTAAGATCTCGAATAAAATTTTCCAAAAACAAAGGAAATGTAATTCTCGAAAAGGATAAGGTAAAATAATTTCTGGTTCAAAATAGTGTTGATTAAAATATGAAAAAGTCGAAAAAAAAAGGGAAATAAATGAAGGAGCAAAAACTGGAAATGGATTTGATCGTTTGGATGGTTTTATCTTAAATTCCAAATGATAAACTTACAATTGGTGTATTTAGGTCACTATCGAAAGACCCAAAGTCCCTTGGAATTGCAATGATGTCTGAATGGTTGAAACCTACGATCAAAACGTTGTTTTACTCTTTCACATACTAATGCTTTGACTCGGTCTTCTCAGTCTGCTTTAAGCTTCATATACATACATAAATATCCTTAATTTCAGACCAAAAATGCCCACAAAAAGCAAAACAAGTTGTTTCAACATCGACATCAAAAACTTAATCAACACAATAAATACAACATAGTTATCAGAACTTCAACTAATACGATACCAAGATAAGAACAAACCAACATTTTTGTCACCTAAACTATCAGAAGAGAAGAGAAGAGCACTGCCATACAATGGATCACACAAATGGGCCTTGGCAGTTAAGCTCATAGGGCCCAAGAAGTAAAGGAAACGCCAAAACTAAGAAAAGAAAGAGGAAGAAAAAACCGGTTTCGGTTGTTGTGGTGTGTGTTTTGCACTCACCAACGAC